TGGCATACACGGCATCAATGATTTTCTCATGCAGTGTTGCTCCAGAACAAACAACTATGCCCCTGTCAAGTCCTTCTAAGTAAGGTCCTTTTGAAAAGTCCAGGGGACGCCCTCCAGCATCAGTTACAACACCTCCGGCCTCTTCTACAATGACAACACCAGCAGCGTGATCCCATATCTTCTCCTTGTATCCAGTCCTTGCAAACTTCATGAATAGCTCAGCATCTCCTCGAGCTATGGCTGCATATTTCACCATGCTATAGACACGGAGGGGTTGATTTCTACCATATGATATGAAAGGACAATATCAATTAGAGCACAAGTAAAACTATAGTTGCCAATATCTTCCTACCCCAGTAAAAAAGACATGTAAGGTGGCAAGGTGGCTTTGAGATTCACATCATTTGCCAACCAGAGAAAGATAAGAAACTCATTGGAGATGGTACAATTGATTACAACAAAAAGGAAAAAATTAGGATACTTTGCGGTAAACTCATTTTTAACCTTAATTGACCATCGATCACATTGCCATGTACTTTAAAAAAAAAACATATCATTAAGCAATTGCCTCAAATAAAAGCAGGGTAACTATTAAAAAATTCCAAATAACAGACAATAGACATACTTGTTGATATAATCTCTTACTTCTCTCTATCTAATTTCTCAGAACTTGAAAAACAGGACCAAGAAACAGAAGAAACAAACAACAGCAGGACAACAACCTAGGCAATACTTGTGATGGAAAATCACTCATATCATTAAACAGTGTGCTAGGTTTTTATAAAGCAATGTCGTCAAACTGGAAATATCTTTTTATTTTACCTCTTATATGTAATAAAAAAGAAACTAGAAAGGGGAAGTGCTACTCTACTTTATAACTCATTTCACTCTTCTATTTGCAATTTTCTCCTCCCATTACTCTTTGCCTTTTTCATTATGTGATGGTTTCATTCGTTAGACCGACAACCATGCACGTTGATGTATAGAAATAATTAAGTAACTATGTACCTAAACCCTACGCTGTGAGCAAGTCCTGCTGTGAAGGAGTGGTCTGAATTTGCTTTCTCGACAGGTTCACAACAAGTGGCCAGTGCGGGGTCATCGATGGAAGAAACCCGAACAAGTCTTGCAGAATTTGGCCACACAAACTTCTTATCCCCATGGATTGGTGGCTGCATCCATGCCTCACCACTGCCTCTCCTCGCATACATCACACAACCTCTTTCCCACATATCCTCAGAAGGTGGAGACAACCTTGACATGGTTTCATGGTACTGATAATGATAACTGAGCAATTCCTTCTTCATTGGGTAATTTGGGCACCCAAGTACTCCAATAACAACTTTTCCATCCTCTATCAATGCTAAAGCTACAGCATATTGATCCCCACGTACAAACCCTAATGTTCCGTCAATAGGATCAAGTACCCAATGTCTACCTTTGGGGCCTCCCTCTGAGTTGCATTGGCTGATAGCCTCAAGAACTTGAGCGGTGTTGAGGGATTTTGGTGGACTTTTAAGACCATACTTGGGTGCTCCAGCTAAGCATTCATTAACAGTGTTTACAACAGCTTCCAGCAAACCTGCTGAGTCAGCCTGAGACAGCGTTTGTACATCTTCTTCAGCAATAATGGATACATTTTGACTCCCAAAGAACTGAGACAGTATCCAGCTAACGGTTGCTTGCACACTCCAATCTGTTCACGCACAATGTCAATGGAATTAGCCAAAGTTTACATGATATACAAAGAGGAATCAATATGAGTTGGAGAGCCTGATCTTTTCAGTTGCTATAAACATAAAAACTAGATTCTCCAGAAACTGGCTCTTTCCTTTCCAGCTCCAATTGCTTTCATTTTCTGAAAATTTATAATTAAAGAAGAGCTCCAAACAATTTCTAGCGTATGAAAGTTCTGGTAAGGATATTAAACCAACTTACAGTAAACAAAGAAAACCCTCATAAAAAAAGTAAGATAAAAAGAATTCCCTTGTTGAAAGCTTACAAATTCTCTAACTAAGATCATAAAATGAAGGACATAAACTTCTGTGGCTGATACGTGTAAGTAGTGTTTTTTATTAAGCTTCACAACAATGAAACAGTATTTCAAATTTAATGCAGGACACAAAAGCCACTAAAAGGTGTGCCCCTACATTTCTATAAAATGATGATATTTGTGTTTTCACATAATGCTCTCGCAGGTTCTATAACTTCTACTTGAAAAATGCTCCACTCCCACCCCCATATTCACTTTTAAGACAAATCTCAATGAGCCTTTGCATGGATAATTAGCCGACAGAACTCACGCTGCGTGTATAAAATGCTCTCCATAAAGATCATTCTACAAGAATGACATACCATCAGACAATACCCCAACAATGTTCATCTGCCGGTCAGTCCCTTTTACTTAAAAAGCACTTACAAAAGAAGATTCTGGTCCCATACGAAGCGAAAAACCTACTCCATAGCGACGAAGAAAACCTCGCAGATAATGCACCTAATATCAAGTACCTAAATTCATAAACGGCGTATATTTGTTATCATTTTAAAAACATTGTCCATCATAACTTGTTAACAGTATCACCTTAACTAAAAGCCAAATCAATTCAAGAACTACTAAACATACGAACGTGTATTGCGGAACCCGTAGCGATGTATTCATCTCAAGACTATTTATGTAGCAAAGGTATTACATTGCACAAGTTGGCCAAAACTAAGGAAACCAACAACAGAAAAACAGCAGAACATTTCTCAAATAGAAAACCTCCGATATCAAAGAAGACACAACGAAAGAGCACTGTTTCAATTCATAGTACCTGCGACAGTCACAGGAGAATCATCGTCCTTGGACTTAACGAGGCCACTGCCACCAGACACCAACCCCTCCTGCAGCCTCTGACACAGAGCACACGCCATGTGAACCACTCTCACCGCCACATCCAGCTCCTCGCCGTATCTCCCGCCCTCCATACCTCAATCTCAACAACTTCCGACGACACCCAGATGGACTGAATTCACAAACGAGGAGAAAGCATCTATCTTTGAGGTACCCACCTCGGGATTCGTGCAGATTAAGGTTCCTACATTCTTGGGTTGCTGATTTTTGAGGGGTTTTTTTTGCAGTGCTTTCTGTTTTGCAATGGTAATGGCATTCGGCAATGCGGTAATTTTTTGCGCGACTAAAACATTTGGGGATTTTTGATTGGGTTGTGGAATTTCCTCTGGTGGCATTTGTATTTTGTGGGATTTTTTGTGTTTGCGTGGAAGGAAAGTTTGGAAGAAAAGCAAATGTGGTCAAAAAGTTCGGTTTTCATTGTCCACTCTGCCGGGTTTAATGTGACCACAGGTGTCTCTGTCACTAGCTTTATTTCTTTTTCTAGCTTTTGAGTGTACGTGGAGAATAGTGTTCGGATAGGAGACTAACTTATACGAAATGAGTTAATAAAATTATAACGTTTTTGGTTTAACGAGGTAATATAATGCGAAGAGAAATTTCCACGTAATAGGATGGCACACGTATATCCTTCTGGGCTCATCTCCAGCCACTCTTAATTTGCCACGTAGTTGATCTCTCAGGTGGTATTTTATCTTCTTTGCCATTTTGGATTTGACTCAGGTTTTGTGATTGGAAGAGGATTCTCATCTTTCTTTTTTTCCATCTTCTTCCCTCTCCTCCAGTTTGAACGATCACGGTTAAGCCACGTCAACCTCTTATATTAATTTTTTATAGAAAGACAAAGACAAAATAGAGAATGTGAAAGGAGGGAATGGAAGAGGATAAAAGGGAGGGAAGAGAATCATAGTCCTTTGTGATTGTGGTCCATCAAAGCTGCTCAAAGAAGGAAAGGATCCTCTCCAGATCTGTTCCACCTAATCTTCTCATCAAACCATTCGGATCCTTAAAATTTGATCAAACAACTAAAGTTATTATAACTTTTAGAATGAGCCTATGTTTTTAACCATTTGATCAAATTTCAAAGACCTGGATTATTTGATGAGAAAAATTAGATGGAACGGTTCCAAAGAGAATCCCTTTCCCTTAAAGAAATCTCACATGTTTCCTCAAGAGGAGGTGTTGGGCTTCTGGCCTTAAAAGAGGAAAATTTTAAGGTGTTGGGCTTATATTATTTTGGAGTAAGCCCACCAAGTTTCAAGGAATAGTTTGATTTATCCCAACAAAAAATAAATTTAAAAAAAATATTTAAATAAATATGCGTTAAGTTAGTTGGTTTAACTAGTGTACCTGTGGATCTAAATTTCCCACATTGTTGTTTAAAAATAAAATATCACATCTGTAAAAAAAGTATTTCCAAAAGCAAAGATGTAGAGCGGGGTTTCAGCATGCTGAGCCTTTTATTATTATGATAAAAAAATTAAATATAAACTTTTTTTGTAAAAGTATTTACTTTATAAATATATTTAAAAATTAAAATTAAAATACTAAAAAAAACATTCATTTAATCAAAAATTTTAGCATCAAATTTAACGATGAATAATCATAAATTTTTGGCTTTTTAGCCAAAATGGTTTTTAAGATTTGCATAACACATAAATTTGGTCTCTGAGATTGTCCACCATCCATTAAAAAAATTCTGTTAAGTGGTCCCTAGCTTTTTAATTGAATGACCAAAATGATAGATGATGAACAATCACAGGGACCAAAGTTATGTGTTATGCAAATCTCAGGGACCATTTTGGCTAAAAATACTCTCAACTTAACGGAGTTTTTGAAATGACCAAAATAATGGATGGTAGACAATGACCACTTCTATTAATTTTCAATCTTAAAAATCAAAGTTATATGTTATACAAATTTCAATAACCATTTTGATAAAAAAAACCTAAACTTTTTTGGTACAAAGATGTTCGGGACAACCTTCGGTTTTTTCCGTGGCATAAAATTTTAACAGAGCCCAACCCGCGGTATTGCCCACTTTACGGCCTCGATGCCAACCGAGCCCATAGCTTAAAACGCTGTCGTTTAACCTAAAAATTTTCCACCCCCTCCCTCCCCGGTGCTTCCATATCCACCATGACTGTCGTCGTCTCCGCCAATTGAGTCACCATGGCCACCGTCAACCGATTTCTCAGAGTTGTTAGCATTTACGTTAGAAGCCGGCGATGGGGACTCGAGAGGTGTACGAACAGAAGCTGAGGAGTGGGAATCTGCACCACGATCCCACCATGAATCCCGGCCTCGGAACTCCTCGCTGCCCTCGCTGCCTCTCTCTCCTCGCCCACGATTCCGTACCAACACCCATGACCCTACTTTTTTGATGATTTGATTCTGTGGTTTTACAGTCGGAAACTGATTGAAATTCTGTTTTGTTTGTTGTTCAGACAAAGGTGAATGTACCATCACTCCTGTTCTTCACGACGCCACTGCTGTCGTAAGTTTCTCTCTTTTATTTTTCAGCTACCCATTTGCGCAAAATTTTGTTTCTTTGTGTAGCAGTTGTGTTTTAGTTGTGAATTTTCATGGTTTTGATATGGGAATTTGGAGTAGAATGCTTTTTCTAAATATATTTCTTCGTGGTAGATGAATTCTGAGCATGTAAGATTTACATCATTTATGTATTTACATCATCTGGTCAAAGTAGAACCCAACATCAGTTGCGTTGGTAGGGTCATTGGTCTAGGTGTACTTATGGGGATCATGTTTGAGTGTATGTTTACGTCATTTGTAGATTGAACTCTTAAATCTTAACCATGATCCTTTGTTAGTTATTATGTAATTGGTAGCTTCGAATTTGGATAATAATAAATGCGTCACAAAATGTTGTCGATCATGAAGTATTGGGCATAAATCCCAGCGGCGAAGTCAGCATGGGGTCATTGGTTGTCATTGACCCCAATAACTTTAAAAACTCCATATATATTTACTTGTATATTGTATTTGATCCCTACAAACAGCTAAGGCAAACTAAATTACGACCTCCTCGTCCTACTTCTTCTATTTTCTTCTATCATATTTGTCTTCATTCTATCTCTTCTTGTGTGAAATGTTTTAGTTGAAAAGCCTTGAAAGTCTTCAACATTACTCCACAATATCCTGCATCCACCCTCAACAAGCCTGTACAAGTAATAGTAGTCATCGACATATGTTGACATAAAATTTAGGCATATGTTGGCAGGAACTGACAAGTGCCTACTAGGTGCTCGACGAAATGATCCAATGAAGCTTTTTGGTTGATATTATGACCCCATTATTTGAAAATCCTGGCTACACCACTGTAAATCCCCTGTTAATTGTTGATTCATATGATAGAAGTAAAACCCGATACCAGTTGCGTTGTTAGGGTCTAGGTGTATGTGCAAAGACCATGTTTGAGTGTATGTTTATGATAGTGATATGGATGTGGTTTGTTATGCGGGTGATTAAACCTCTCCGCTATTGTTTGTATGAATAGGCTGGCTCAGGTATTGGAGGAATGCTTAGTGCAATTCATAGCTTCAATACAGGTATACATGTTTCCTTTGTCTTTACAATGAACATGCCTTCATATGCAGATTGCTTAGTGTTACTTGGTTGCAGGGATTCCATACCTTCAGAATCAGTTGAAGGGACCAAAGTGGTTGCCTTTCTTAATTGGGGTACATCTCTTATGCTTGGTGCTTGCTTTCCAATTCTGTTTACCCTGCAATGCACTTCCAGTTATTTCGGCATTATCATGAGAAAGTTATATTTATATGCGCCTCAATTTGGCTCACTTTTGTATTGTTTTAATCTTAGCTTCCTCCACTGCTACTGTTTTCGGGTGCCAGTGCTGCATTTGGAGGTAAATATCGTGCTTTTCTCCACTGGGTTAAAAGAAGTCTATTTTGAAACATGATAAGTTCTTTGCATTTCTCTTTGCTGTTACTCTTCTGTTTTGTATTATTGTTAAACAGATCACTTGTTTAGCAGCTGTGGAAAGACTAGTTTACTTAAAAATAGATGCGATTCTTGATTTGTCTGGTTGTTGATGCAGGACAACCTAAAACTTAATTTAGTTGCATAAAATTACTAACAAGGCAGATTATTAGACTTATGGAAAATAAATTAAACACTACTGAATGGATTTATTGTAATGCAACAACAAAGAAAATTAGAAAACTTAACAAATGTAGCACACAATTCTGGAAATTCAGAAAAGATTTACCAGCAAGGTGACTTTAACCGTAAGATTCTGTTTCATTCCTTAAGGAATGTTCCATGACTTGGGTTCTCGTGCAGTTGTTTGGATCCACAACAATAGATCAAAATGGGTACTTAGGCAAGGCTGATTGGTGGAAGGAAGGTTGTAGTTTGCGGCGGTAGGGAGTAGGGGAAACTGGAACCATTCCGGCAAGGGTTCTTGGAATCACACCAAGAATTCTCAAGAATCACTCGCGAATGTAGATTGAAGTAATATAATATTATTCATTGACTGAATTGCAGAAGTACGTCAAAACTCTTATATAGAGCCACATAAGCCATACAAGACTAGAATTAATGACCCGGTTACAGATTTATAGGATTCCTAAAAGTCTAATTTTTGTCGACTGTGAAGAACAAGGACAGATGTTCTAGAAAAACTAAAAGACAGCCCAGCACAACATAAGTTATAAAACCATCTAGAAGACTCCAGCAATTGGATTCTTCATTTCCTTACATAGGTGTTGAACTCGTTTGTATCAGCTGTACTGAGTGTATGTAGACTAAGGCCTTGTTTGGTAAGAAGGATTGGATTGAAATGGATAACTATCAAATTTCAAGGCAAATTGAAGGTAGAAGTGAATGATTTTTCATTTGGAGGGTATTACAAGAGGATTACTCATGAAGAATACTCATCCATTACATTCCTACCATTTTGGAGAGGATTGGATTAGATAAGTTTCCTTCTTGCATAATCCATCTTCTACCCCCACGTACCAAACAAGCCCTAAGCCATGTTCCGTCTATGTATATAAAACATTCTCGCTCAAAAGCTGAGATTCAGCTGGAATTTCTTTCCCGGTGTTCTAAGTTTTGGATACATATTTTTCAATTCCCCGTTGATATGGGGTTTTGCAGGTTATGCACTTCCCAAGTTTGCTCAACTCACCGTGACATCCTATTATGCTACCTCAAGTGCCTCACATTACGGGATTTCACTTCTTACTCGATATATCGAAGAGGCTCACACCTACCGATCTCGGAAAGAAGGGGTCCGATGATTTCTTGCAGGTGCACATGTCAAAGAATCTGCTACAATTTTGTAATTGATGTTATATACATGTACCTGTAGATGCATGAACCTGTATATGGTTAAGACGTTTTATATCATTGATCACAATTTTGGTAATTTTGTTTTAGTAATGTGAAAAATGATTGGAGAAATTGTCAACATATCACATGATCTCACATGAAGGATTATGCTAACCACCTTTGAAGTAGTTGCGTTGAGCAATCAGCATCATCATAAACATAAAGCCAGTAGACTAGCAGTCATCAGATATACTATCCTGACACTTAGGAAGTTCTTTTGGTCCGGGTACTCTTTGGAAGTTCAATTATTCCAAATTTTTTCTCGTATCAGACATCGGTTATATTGAAATGTAATAATCTTCTTTGGAGAATCTTGTATTTAGATGATATATATATATATATATATATATATATATATTAGTGTATTAAAAGCGTGAGGTGTGAGGCGAAGCCTCACAGGAACTAAATTTTTTAATATATACAATGAGCGTATGCATATATTATATTAAAAAAAAAATTATTAACCAATAATCATCTTGAGTATACACATATATTATAAATATATATACACACATACATAGACATATATTATATATATATATATATATATATATATATATAAAATAGATGATGAAAAACACAATAAATACACATATAACAATGCACGCAAACAGCACACACATTCATTATATAAAAAAAATAAAAATCAGAAAAAAAAAGGCAAAGAGACGATAGTGCAAGGAAGAGGTATGAGGCAGTTAAAACCCTACCCAAAATTTGGCTCCGACAATGCCTTTCGCCGCCTAGGCGGCTCCGGCGAAGCCTTACGCCCACTCCCTTAAAACAAAGGCAGCAACCCTCAAACCCAGCCTTAGAGGGAGCCTAGGTGCGTCCTAAGGCGAGCCTTTTAAAACATTTTATATATATATTGAGACAAAGTAATATGTAGCAAAAACTGTATTGAAGGCTTGTAGTTCAAGTTGAAAGTATATATCAACTTTACAGTTCATACAGATTTGTAGTAGTAGAAACATACACTTAAGATCAAAGGTCGAATACTGTTACTGGCCATATCGAGAAGCAAGTATGACATCTGATGGATCCGTTAATATTGACTGACATCTGATGGATCCGTTAATATTGACTGTTTTTATGATCAATCTTGTATCTGATTTAATAATTTTTCTAAAGTTCAATTGTATTTAGATTAGAATTTGAAGTGTCTGATAACAACAGGTCCATTCTGATTAATGACCGACATGTATGGTAACAAAAGAAAGAGAATAGAAGAAAAATGAGAGACATGTACAGCAGGAATTGCCGACTACTTAATTTCCATTCGGGGAAGAGTCTTCAAGCAGAACCCGTAAACCTATCTCGCCGTGCACATTGAATTTGCCTATACAAAATTCAATTTCAATCTCTCATTGAATGGCAAAGAAGGTGCGATTAGTAAAAGCGTACTCACTAGCTCTATGCGTTTACACCCTCGTTGAGAGATGAGTGACATAAATACATAACTACAGTAACGTCTCATGTCAATAATATAAGGACATGTGGAGAGAATTGGCATATGATTTTGTATAATGAGCTCACAAGTTCACAACACTACCATAGCGATGTACCATTATCGTACAAGTTGAGTGCAAATCTTCTACCCCCATTTTGGTGTTGCCTATCTATGGCCACTATCATTGATTGACACGCGTCAAGAAACTTAACTTTTCTTAATTTTGTTGTCATAACTTAACACGTACCAATTATTAATAGATGCCACAAAAAAAAAAAAAAAAAAAAAACCACATACAAAATAAGTGCAGAAGATTTGTTCATTTCTATTTCCGACTGTAGTGGTGTGAAGTCAATTGCTGATGGCGGGCATGCATGTGTATGGGTCTTTAACTCGACGACTTATCAGTTCAACAAAAAATGGGGCACAACGAAACATACTTCGGATCTTATGCTTATACCTAATTTTGTGTATAGAGATTACATTTACAATATTTTGTTTTCAAATTTTTATTTACAATAACAAAATCATTCTATTTATTACCGCAACGTCAACGCCTGAATGAAGACACGTCGCTGCTGCTGTGCCGTTGCGGGAATAACCCTAATATTACTGCAACGTTGGAAGGAGATGCATCTTTGGTGTTGACAGCAATGAAAGGGAAAGGGGATGATAGCTCTGCTCTCGGTACCATAATTAATGATTTGAGGTGTTTGCTTCAGGAGTGGCCGAACTCAGTGATTAGCCATGTCCAACAGGAAGGGAACTCGGTGGCGCATCAGCTTGCTCGATCGGGGATTGCTAGTGCCCAAAAGTAGTGGGGTTTGAGGAACATCCGGATTTGATTCAGGATGTTTTGTATGAGGAAGAATTGTAAGTTTGATTGTTCATTTAAGGATAGGTTTATTGTTGTGCGGGACATTCTTTTCCTTCGACCGGGTTGAAATCCCTAGTAAGGTTTTTATTGAAGTCTATTATACACACTATCCTCAGTTTGTACAAATTCTTATTTGCTTAATGAATATTGTACTTTGTTTCAAAAAAAAAAAAAAAAAAAAAAAAAACAACAACAACAACAAACACATTGGCAGCCAAGCTCTCCATGAAACGTCTACTATTTAAAAGGATTTGGTTATTTAAATTTGCTTAGGACCCTTAACTCTTTTAAATTTCTCTCATTACCAGATAATTTATGTCTTTGCTACTGACAATATAATTGTTGTTTTGTATGATCTTTTTATTTATTTATTTTAAAAATAATATTATCTACACTAAGGTTGTATAATTAAGAACCAACATTTTATGTAAGAATGTAATTCGTTAAATATTTTGATCTGGTTAGTTATAATAATCGATTTGGTAATAATTAGTTGGTAGTCGAAGAATATCAAAACTCTCGGTGTATACCAAGACTAAACCATTTTGTTGTGATGATTTTTTTGGAATCTTTCGATTTTTAGATAAGTGTTGTTAGAGAAAATACATTTTGTAAATTACATTTAAACCGTCTTTTTAATAAAAATAAGATCTATAATACAAATAATTTTCACCTTTATTAAAGATATAATTTAAATTTGATCTCTCTAACATTTATTTTCGGATTGTCAAAGTCACCAAACCTATAAAATTCATGATTATTAGTTCGGATTTTAAGAAAGAAAGTGGCAGCCCTTGTTTGACCGGTTAAATGCCTAGCCCTAATTTGTACAACCATATTTATGGGATGATATACACGTGGATGACCATATATATCATAGAGTTGAAAATTGAAATGAAGTTGCAGAGTTCAAAGATATTTTTTCCCTTATGATTTAAAGGAGTACTTAAAAAAAAAAAAAAAAAAAAAAAAAAACTAATGAAAATAATTTGAAAACTTTGAGTTTTAACGATATAGACAAAATAAAGAGTAAAATAAATAGTATCAAGATTAATATTTTAATGTAAAAATATGATTTTTCGTTAAAATGAACAATATTGATAACTTTTCGTTAAAATTAAAAAAAAAAAAAAAAAAAAGGCATCAATATGACCATTAATTATGCAACTGATTGGACAAACGTAAAGTACAATTTGACAGTTGAAAAGTTTTAGTCCATCAGTAAGCAATCATAAGGAAATTTTTAGTTGTGACAGAAATACAAGTAATACACACGTATTTTAATAAAAGTAATGAAAAATTTTATTTTTTAAATTATTAACTTTTTAACATATATATCCACCATTTGTATGAGAGCATTTTTGCTCACTACCATATAGTGTGGTATATCCTTACCATCCTATTGATTATCGTTAGATGAGTTTGAATTTCGAGATTCGTGTAGTGGATAAGCACAAATCTCAAAATTCAAACTCATCTATTAGTGATAAATAAGGTGGTGAGCATACATCACACTAAATGGTGGTGAATAAAAATACACTCTCATTTGTATAATAACACATAATGTACTATTTCATATACTGATCACATTAAAAATCTCTTAGGACCATAACCATCACAATTAAACACCCCAACTGCCCCTCCTCACGTGGCAGTCATTGGTCATCCACACGATTATATGTGATTCCTTAGCTACTAAGCTGGTTTGCAATTCCAATTACATGGACCAGAATCCTCTCCATATCTTTTTTGTGAGGAGTTTAGGAATCATTATATTTTAGTCATTTATCGTACATTATATAGTTAGTTTTCGATAGGTATTGTTTGCCTTTCATTTTAAATAAAAAATTTTAAATGATTTTTGGTCTCAAAATGATTGATGAACGAATAAAATGAACTAATCCTTAGGATCATCACAAAGAGATTTTGAATAAAATCCTATTCCCAATTACATGACCAAAAATCTCCAGCTACTGCATGTAAGAGGTCTTTGGTATGGTAGTCGTGTGGTGTTATTACTTTGTTTGCATATATTTATTTGAAAATGATCCTCTTCGAATTCTTTTTGTTAAGATTCCGAAGATTTATTGTACATTGTGCGTACGAAAACTGACCGTACGATGTATGATAAACGAATGTAATTGAAGGATTTTTAGTGCTAATGTACGTGTACACAGCTCATCGAACTTCTTCACCTAAGCTTCATTCATATAAATAATCTGATATGCTATACACACACACACACACACATTGAAAGCAAAGTCTCAAGTTTCTGAAATGGTTTGCTTTTGTTTCCTGGTAGACCAGAGGAGGAAGGTGTGGCGGAGCAAGCCGGTGGCTGGGACATGTTCAAGATGTGGGTGTGGAGCAAGCGTCGCTGACATAAAGACTTCGACTAGGTTTTGCTATATTCCAGTTTACTGGAAATCTTGGAAAGCAATCATGTGTACTTTTTGTGGAGCCATTCTCAAATCTTATAGATAAAATTTCTGCAGATATATGTTATTGTTAACTTCACAGGTTGGCTCTTGCTTCTTTATTATCTTTGTTTTTCTGGCCTTTCTGGATTAGATTGAGCTTTCGACTGTTTTTTTGTATTTAAATTTTGCAGAATATTTTGGTGTGAGTAAAGGTGTATGGAACTGTAAATATAGGCGGCTTGCTGTTGGTTAGTCATGGAGTGGAATATGGAGACGAGGATTTTGCTCTAAGTATATAAATTTTACTCTGTTGAGAAAGTATTGTGAAGAAGTGGATAATTAATTATAATTAACTCCAATTACTATGAACTGGTTGTTAAGTTGTAGTTTGTATTTTAACAACTATTATTTTAATATTTTCTTTCTTCCTCTCTCCCGTGCCTGCTACTCACCTTCTCCAGTTCTCCTTTTCCAATTAGAAAGAAACAAAAGAAAACAGATGAAAATATTACCAATCTGATCTCTTTTCTTCAGTATTTTTATCTGTATAAAAGATTTTTAGCTTCAAAATTAACTTAAATTTTACAAAACCAAATACAAAGAACATGTTAAGAAGTTAGAATATGTTTAAACCGATCTTAGAGTTGTCTCATTAATCGTCCACATCTGCAGGATTAATGTGCTGCGCGCTTTCTCATGGAGTTTTAGGTTTGTATGAATGTTGTATCCATAATCAACCATAAGAAAGGGTGACCCAAGCCAACAAGGCTCCGCTTTGTGACGGCCGAATGAATGTTTATCGTACACAATTTTATTCTTGCTTTGGAAAAAAGTTGTTTCCGCAATTCGATCTTGTGACATTTTGATCACAAAGAGTAACTTTCTGTTGAGCTAAGGCTCGCCCTCATTTAGCAATGAATGATCAACGACTGCCAACATTGTAGTTAGCTAGCTAGCACTAGTATAGATTGCCATTCATCCCATGATTTATTTATTTTTAATGTTTACTATTATTATGGGGAAATGAAAGAGTTCGAATCTATTACAATACTATAGGGATGAAGAGTTTTGAACTCATAATGCACGAAAAGAAAGTCAACACCTTACCCACCAAGATATTAGAGAAAATATACTTCCGAGAGAAAGTTAATTTATCTCATAAGTATGTTAAGAAAATTCACCTCGTAATTAAATAACCATAGCTACTGTTCAAGCTATTGTTTTGGAAGTACTTTCAGAGCTACAAACCTCTTTTTAGATCACCAAAAGAATCTCTGATTTGGCAAAAATTTTGGACAATAAAAGTATAACTAAATTGTTGGTGAGAGTTTGCATTCTGCAGCTTATGAGTCTGCATTTACGTGACCGGTTTTACGTATAGTGACACCCGATCAGCAGCCTGCAGGGCGGGTTGGCATCCAAGACCTCCACCAATCAACCCAACCCTATCACAGGATCACTAAACTCCACTTCTATCTATGAACATGTACCTAACGCACTTCTAAGTGTTTTTTAAGCATTTGATGATCTTTTAATAAAGATTTCGACATGCTTCTAAACACTCAGAAAAATCGTATTATGAGTCTTCCTACAGAACTGCTCTAAAATTGGTCCTTAGTACTCCTAAATACAGGTCCTTACTATATTTATTAGGGGTTGTTCAATGACCAATTCATTTTCAGATTTTAGTTCTCATTTTTCTGTTTGGAAGGAGTAGATGTATGGGAGGGAGAATTAGAAATCCAGAGTAATGATATTTATACCATATTTTTATACCATGTTTCTATATCATCTTAGGTAGCATCTGATGTGGACAGCCACATCATTTGAAAAATTTGCAAAACCTAAGGAAATGAAGGAGAAAGACTCCTCGTATACCACAATCATCATTTAATTAATTAGTTTTTTTTTAAAATTTTTAGTTTATTAACTAATGAACTAAATTTAAAAATCTGATTAATTCAAATGATGTGACTGCTCACATCAAATGACATCTAAGATGGTATGAAAATATGATACAGAAATTATTAGCGATAAGGAATATAAAAGAGTATGAGGAATGATGGTCGAATAGATATAGAAGAAATGAATAAAGAATAGTGCACAAATAAAATTAAAAATAAAAAAACAAAATCTATTTTGAGTAATTTTCACTTTCAAGATTCTGTTCTCACTCATTCTTCTTTGTTTATTCCCCTCCTCTTTCGTACTTATCATCCCTCATTTCATTTCACCTAATAGAGTCTTATCTCAAGCACAAAATATGAAAACTAAAGATTTAAAAACGAAAACTAATAGAGTCTTAATTTCTAATTTCTAATTTCTCTTTCTTATCTCTTTAAATTGGCCGGGACTTGAGTTTGTAAGGTTTTTTTTGCCTTTCCTAAAGAACCCTTCAAATATGACTCCACCGCGCTGTAGATGGCCATGCTATGATATCACCTAATAATTTAGTTTCAGGTTAAAGAATTCAGCAAGGAGCATCTATATTATCCTGCTCATCCTGCATTAACTCGAGTCTGCAAGTTCAATAAATCTCTCTACGGTTTAAAGCAAGCTTCGAGGCAATGGTTCATTAAGTTATCCAATGCTCTCAAGGCCGCTAGATTCCATCAATCATGGTCCAACTATTCACTATTCGTCTGAAGTCGTCACGGTAACTTCATTGCTTTGTTAGTCTATGTTGATGATGTGATATTAGCAGGGAATAATCTACATGAAATTGAAGAAACAAAGCAGTTTCTCTCTCAACGTTTCAAGCTGAAAGACTTGGGGCAACTCAAATATTTCTTGAGCATAGAAGTTGCACGTTCAAAGCGTGGAATTGCTCTATGTCAACAAAAATATGCACTAGAAATATTGGATGATGCTGGGTTTCTAGGAGTTAAGCCTTCACGGTTTCCTGTGGATCAAAATTTGTCTCTCACACAAATGGAAGGAAAAGTGTTGAATGATCCTTCATCATATAGACGGCTTGTGGGGAGGTTGATATACTTGACCATAACAAGGCCTGACTTGGCTTATGCTTGTTCACATGCTAAGTCAATTCATGGAGAAACCTCGGCAACCACATCTTGAGGCTGCACACAAGGTCTTCAAGTACATTAAACAAGTACATGGACAAGGAATTTTTCTTCTTTCCATGGGTTCATTGCAATTACAAGCATTTTGTGATGTTGATTGGGCTAGATGTAGAGATACTAGAAGGTCGATAACGGGGTACTATATTTTTCTTGGTCAAGCACCTATTTCTTGGAAAACTAAGAAACAAACAACTATATCTCGTTCTAGTGTAGAGGCTGAATACCGTTCTATGGCCACTACATGCTGTGAAATCATATGGCTGAAGAATATTTTGAAGGATTTAAGAGTGAATCATCCACGACCAGTCAAGTTATTTTGTGATAATCAAGCGGCATTACACATCGCTTCAAATCTTGTTTTTCATGAACGGACGAAGCATATAGAGATTGATTGTCACCTAGTACGAGAAAAGATTCAAGAAGGATTGATACGCACAGCTTACAATTAGGACAAATGATCAACCAACTGATATATTCACCAAGCCGTTGAGTTCAACACAGTTTGAAGTCTTACTTAGCAAGTTGGGTGTCATTAACATACACTCCAACTTGAGGGGGAGTGTTAAGGAAGATATCTCTCTTAATTAGTCAATATTGTAAATTGATATTGTAGTTATTTACTTCCTTGTTTGGTTTATGATTAAGCCTTGTTTATAGGCGATAGTTTAGGATCCTATTGACTGTATCATTACATAAAGCTGTAAACCTAGTTGTTGAATAATATCGAAAATCATAATCCCATTCTATGCTTGTTATGAATCTCTCTACGGGGAAGACGCAGGGATGGTGAGGGTGGGGTGTCGGAGGGTGTGGTGTCTGATGGTGGTGAGTTGATGGGAGAAAGTGTAGAGTCATGGTCGAGGGAGTTGTGTGGCGGAGGAGATAGGGCAAGAAAAGAGTCCATATCAAATTGTGATAAGGAGTTGGTTAGAGTGGAGGACTGTGGATTAGCAGCGGAAATGTCTGAGTGATAAGGAATTGTTCTTAAAAAAAAATCACGTCCCGTGAGACAAAAACTTTGTTGAATTGAAGGTCGAATAATCGATAGCCCTTTTTACCATATAGATAGCCAAGAAAGACACATAGACGGGCACGGGGATGAAATTTTGAAGGTTTGTGGGCGTGAGTGGAAGCAAAACACAAACAACCAAACACTCGTAAGTGTGAGTAAGTGGGTGCTTTTTGAAACAACTTTTCATAAGGTGTCTTTCCTTGAAGAAGGGGTGTGGGTATGCGATTAATAAGATAGGCTGAAGCAAGTATGGCGTCCCCCCCAAAAACGTTTTGGCATGTTAGCTTGAAAGAGGAGGGCTCTGGCAACATTTAATAAATGTCGATGCTTACGTTCAGCAACACCATTTTGTTGTGGTGTGTTGACACAACTAGTTTGATGAATGATACCTTGTTTGGCATAAAAACTATCAAGTTTAAATTCGGGACCATTGTTGCTTCGAATCATTTTAACCTTGGTGGTGAATTGGGTTTCGACCAAATGGACAAATTGTACAAAGAGCTGTTGTGTGTCAGATTTTTGTTTCATCAAATAAATCCATATGCTCCTGGTGTAATCATCAACAATAATGAGAAAGTATTTTGCACTAGAAATCGAAGGAACATGATACCCCCCATCCAGATATCAACATGTACCAATTCAAAACGTGATTTAGTGGATATGGAACTCAATGAAAATGGTGCTCTTGTTTGCTTGGCTAATGGGCCAATGACACATTTATTAGAATCATAAGATTTGTTTTGGAAAAAGGAAATAACATAGAAATAGTTTGCAATGGATGTCCTAGGCGTTGATGCCAAAGATGATGGTTGGATGTTTGAATGGTGTTGCATGTTCCCTTCTTTGGTGGATCGAGATAGTACAATCCCTCCCGTTCAATTCCCGTCCCAATCATCTTCCCGAGCGTAGGTTCTGTATAACACAAAATTGTTTTAGGAAGACGGTAATATAGATGGAATCATGTGCGAGCTTGCTAATGGATATCAAATTTAATTTGAAAAATGGGACACACAAAACATTATCAAGCACAAGGTTAGGAGAGAAGACAACTTGTCCAATGTGGGTGACCGTGGCAAGAGAACCAGTGGGTAGTTCAACATTATGGTTTGTAACAGGTCTCGACGTCGTGAGATAATGAGGGCTGCAAACAATGTGGTCCGTTGCACCACTATCCAAGATCCAAACATTTTTTATGCCATTATGCATGAAGGAAAAAGCTTTACCTAAAAGTTCTTCATTATTCGAGGAATTACCAACTTGATTTGCAAAGGAAGATCTGGTTTTGTTCAACATTGCAAGTATCTGCTTGCAATCTTCCTGGGAAAAAAGGAAGT